AGGCCAGTATGGTGTGTTATTCTGTTTGGTTGCTGTCTCCTTTGGCCGTATAGTGTTGGTTTGACTTTGTTTTCTCAACTTAGTTGGAGCGTCATATTTAGTCTAAGAACTTGACTCACCTACCCTTCATGTCTCATTATTGATAACCTGTTGCCAGTTTTAGCTAAAAAAAATTCGCCTATATTTTGCCATAAAGGCTCTGCTACCATTAACCTGGTTGATTTCATTGCTTATTTTAACCTTACATAGTATAAGAATGGCCTTCTCTTTCCTCTTTACAAGCGAACTTTTAGTTAGTTCCCTCCTGATAGTCAAAATATCTTGCTTTTTCTCTCTGTAGACTATTTTATTTCTTTATGAAAACAGGAAATAAGGAAAGCAATATCTTTATTTTTCTGTTTTTCAGATTCATCTATTAATTGATATGTATAGAATTACCCCAAATGGTTTTCGAACCTATATTTGTGTGTGAATCATTTGGGATCCCGAATCATCTTTTACTCGCCAGCAATTATCCTTTTTTGATCGACCCTTTATAGATCGATTATTCTGTGAACCCGTTACAACTTGGTATCAGAGAGCTAATTGACTTATCCTCAAAGATACTTATGTTGGCTTTCCTATATTTGCGTGTGCCTATTGCCATTATTTTTTACTTATTTATGAAATATAATCGAGAAGACTATTGTACTTAAAGCAGGCATCAATCATAACTTCTTAGACAGCAGCAAGCTAAATTTCGAATTTCTTTTGGTTCAGTGATTATAATATTTTCATTCTTTTGTGCATACCACAACCGGCGGCGGAACACGCTTATAGCCAATTCGCTGAACATATTACGGACCTGGATGGTGACAGCTGGTTGATAGAATAGTGACCGAGTCGATACTCATTTATTTTCTCCAAAACGTTCACTGATCCTCAGCCGGCTTCAACATAATAGGAATGTCTTTAGATTGAGACATTGTTTAACGTGATCCTGAGGCATTTATCACATCGAGCATTGAGCAGCAGACTAAAGACTTTGGCCCATTAGGTTCCCATACCTAAACATCGGTTAATTTATATCATCTCAATTTTGTTTACATCTCGGCTTTTGCCATTCCATTGCATTTATTGCTACTCATTAAATTTTATTAAATTCACTTCATCAAAGTGTATACAGCCCTCATGCCAAACACGTTCGCATTCCCCTATATTCCTTATTTATGTTCTTTGCAAAGGTCAAATGCGAGTTCTACTTGCCTAATTCGACTCACGAGTTGGTTCCTCCCCCGAGCGCCGGTAGATCGGGCAGAACCAGCAATAACTGGACAAGCTCGACCCAACCTTCGAATGGAGAATTGCATAAGCCTATTAGTCACCAAGACAGGGCTAGTCCCATAATCTCAACATCTGCTGCTGATGAAAATATTCCTGAAACTACTACGGCTATTTATAATGTTGCTACCCCGGTCGCAGATGACGTGGCTACTAACCTCACATGTAATACGCCTTCACTTCTAAGTCAACCTCCTGTTTCGAGCACCATTTTTAACCTATCTAGTTCCCCCACACCTGGCTGTGAGTCTCGAGTGAATGCCAATCTACCAGCAACAACTGATAATTCTCACTGGTCCTCATCACGATTGGACTGCGATTCCTGTCCTAATTCACAGCAGATGCACTATTATTGTTCCTTGGCGTTACCGGGCGCTGAACAGACTTTTGGCCCGATCACCGTTCGCGTGTTGTCTCTAGAGCACCAAGAGGGCTATATTGCACGTCGTTTATTAATGAAGGTGAGTTTCCTTGATATTGGCTGCACTAATTGCTTTAAAGACAAATAACTTTTCATTGCCTGCTATAGTTCATAGTTAAATTAATTGAGCAAGGATACTGGTTTTCGATTGATCTTGTGATACCTCTTTGTGGAATTGATTTTTATTTCGTGTCAATGTGTGGGATGAAGAGGTTCGTAGGTCAGTCTTACTTTTCGGCCTGCTGCCACTTAAGCTTATTTTGGAGTTCTGGTTGACGAAGTCCTCGAGAAATTCTCCAATATAAACGTGCTGAGCTTTGTTTTGTCTGTCAACTCCAAATTTCATTAGAGCTGGGGGTCATTCTGATTACGATTCAAAAAAATTCACCAGCTTATTCATGCCTGCTATGTATATCCACAAAAGATGAATTCCTGGAGCCATAAAAAGATTTGGCCAATCCTTTTGCATGTCTACCCATATTTATATAAATGTCTAAGCATGGGAAACAGGCATATTGCGTATTGCCTATTGCCGGACAACCGCTCAGTAGAAATGACGTAATTTTTGATATAATTATCTGTGTAAAGTGTGACTATAATTGGAACCATTTTTAAAGATTCTAGTTGAGTTGCCTTTTTTTAGGGTTGGCTCACATTTATTCCTGAGTCTATTAATCAAGCACAACTACTCCCATTCACTATAGACAGTGCGTTCCTTAATCAATTAATTTTGTTGTCTCTTCACTTTTGTGAAAGTGTATGATATGAAGACAGCGTCTTATCTCTCCTTGTCCGATGTATGATTTTCATTAAAAGTTTATACTGATGAGCCCTTGAAACGCTCTCTTTCTGTTTCATTGGAAACGTGCTGCGCTATCATCTATCATATGGCAGACCTAATTACTGATTTCGCTCATTCTTATAATGACAAACAGTTTACCAGTCAGGAACACACTGTTGGTTTCAATTGTCCACCTAATTTTGCCCCTTGTATCCGTCACTTTAATCAAGAAACAGAAGAGTTTAAGCCATTACGCCTAGTTTC